GTATATGATACTGTGTGTATATATATATATATATATATATATATATATATATATATATATATCATTTTATTCATATTTTTGGCTGGAAATGTATTTCATATAATTGAATTAAAATAAATGCTGTTCTTTTGAACTTTCCATTCATCAAAGAATTCTGAAAACAAATGTATCACAGTTTCCACAAAAATATGAAGCAGCACGAATGTTTTCAACATTGCTAACAATCAAAAATATTTCTTGAGCAGCAAATTAGTATATTAGAAGCATATTTTTTCTGAAGGATCGTGTGACACTGAAGACTGGAATAATGATGCTGAAAATTCAGCTTTGCATCACAGGAATAAATTACATTTTAAAATATATTCAAATAGAAAAGAGCTATTTTAAAAAGTAAAGTATGGCCATATTACAGATTTTACTGGATATTTTATTAAATAAATGCAGCCTTGTTGAAGCTTCCTTCCACCATGAGATAAAAATATATAAATAAATAAAAAAGCTAATTGTGACATTTTATCTCATAATGCAGACTTTTCTTGCACATAAAAATTGTGAGATTACCTTATTTATTTATTTATTATGTGGCGGTAAGAAAAACTCAAAATTGTAAGATGTAAATGCTGAATTGCGAAAGAAATCCAAATTTTGAATTTATATCTTGCAGTTCTGATTTTTCTTCCGAAATTGTGAGTTTATATCTCACAATTTTGAGTTTATGTCTTACAATTCTTTTCTTCCCTCAGAATTGCAAGAAAAAAGGCCAAATTGTTAGATATAAACTCAGAATTGTAAGAAAAAAATTATCCGAATTGTGAGATAAAAAGTTGCAATATTTTTTCATCCATTTTTTATTTTTCATCCTGTAGCAGAAACGAGCTTCTATACATAAAAAACTTAAAACTGAAATATTTTTTTTTTTTTTTTTTTTTTTTTTTTTTACCAAAAATCTGATTATTCATAATAAATGAATACACAAAAAATGAATCTGCATGCTGTGCTGTCTGCTGCATGTAAACACCACAGCAGGATCTCTACTAGTTGACACATTTATATTGTTGCACGTTGAGGCTGCCCAACCGTTTAAACTACAGCTACACTTCGACTGAGCAGCAAAACAAGTGATTATTGTCATCCGTTTGGATATCTCATTTCTTCATACACCAAACACTTCCATTTTCCCAACCCTTCCCCCAACACGTCAGCATGTCCCCGCAAACATACATAAACACGTGTGTCGTCCTCCTTTTCTCCATGTGAGCGGCTGAAGCTGTGCCTCTCGCAGTGCCACTACACGAATAATTGGCCCATGATGGAGCGCTGATTGCCTCACAGTACCTGGGGAGTTCAGCACACATTAGCATTCAATAAAATCGCAGATGCATACACAAATACACACACACACACAGTAAATGAGTTTATCGCAGAGGCTTTCTGCTCGTCTTTGTGTCTCACGGCTGGACGGGAGTTTATTTAACATGTGAATTTGATCAGCACAAGTGTTGAATTAAAGTGCTGGAAACTGATATTCAGTACAATAGTTACGTTTATTTGGACATTTCTATAGGGTTTGCTGAAATTGTTTTTATTTATTATTATTTCTTTAATGTGCTTAAACAAATGTGCTTTTTTTGGGGGGGGGCACCTTTTATGGAAGCTTCTTTCACAATTCTGTTTGTTGTTGTTGTTGTTTAAACAGCAGAATAAAAAATTAAAAAGGTAATTGTGACTTTTAATCTTACAATTCAGACTTTTTCCTCACAATTTTGAGTTTATGGACCGTGTGTGTGTGTGTGTGTGTGTGTGTGTGTGTCTCGCAAAATTACAATTCTTATAATAATGTAATATCACTAGAAATATTTTCAAAATACACTTCAAGAAATTGAAGAAAGTAGAAAATAGATCAAGTTGGTTCTAGTCCACCCACATTTCCACATATATCTCAAATGCACTTTGATATTATCAATATATTTTGCCCCTGAAGCCTGAAGATTTTATATTACAATATATTTTGACATTTGGAAAATATGGAAAGCTTTTGAAAAACTTCCAGTTCAACTGTTCAACTGAACTGTTTATACCGTACATTTACAGTGTTTCAAATATATTTTATTTGGCCAGAATAAAATCTATTTTTGCAATATGAGGTCATTTCAGGACTCGGATCCAGCGTTTGTTATTTACTCCAAGGAGCATAACGTCTGTTTTGAACTCGTGTGTTTGCAGATGGTTGTTGCCATAGTGACATAATTACAGTAATTAGCGATGCTACAGTGCATTTGTGTTCATTAATTCACTTTAGGATTGTACTTTGATCAAACCTACAGACACATGTAGCATCTCGAACAGGGTCAAGTTATATAACTAACACTACTACTTTTTTGTGAACAAGATACCATGGTAATGTGGGTTACACTTTATTTTACGGTATGTGTATTTACTGTTTGTGTATTTAATGTAATGTTAAATGTTTTCGCTCTCTCTCTTGATTTGTTGGTTTAGCTGATGCAGCAGCAGGCAGCTATCATGGCGGCTTCTCACGGTGGTTATTTAGCACCCAGTGTGGCGTTTCCAGCGACACAGATCCACCAGGTGGGGGCGCTCAACATGAACGGCCTGCCGCCCACCCCGATGACACCTGTGTCAGGTGAGTCTGACGCACAACCTTAAAAAAATCTCATTTAGGTGTCAATTTGATCTCAAATGTTCCACCTTAAATTTCTTACTAAAATGTAGCAGAACTGCTCAAAACTTCAGTAATGGGAAATGCTTTGTGAAAGTGGATATTCAACACAACAAATGTAGGGTAGTTAATTATTCATTTAAACATTGTGATCAGAAGGCTTCTGCTTAAATGTGTGAAATAAATTGTGTAGACAGATTCAGTTCTTATGAAGTGATTTTTTGTAACACTTTACAATAAGGGTTCCATTTATTAACATTAATTAACTACATTAGTTAACATGAACTTACAAGAGGGATATTATAGTTAGCTAAAATTAAAACATTTTCATTACTTGAAATAAAATAAGGTGAAATAAAAGAAAATATAAAAGCTTAAACTTATTTTATTTAAAATTAAAAAAATCAGTAAAATAAGTAAAAAAAAGTAACTCTTTTTTTTTAAATAACTAAATACTTATTTAAAATAAAACTTAAATGTAATTTATTTAGCTAGTTGCGAAGGCGACATTTGTTATTTTCATTTAGTTTAATTTGAAGTACTGAAATAACTCAAACTAAATCAACTAAAATTAATAAATAAAAATGAATAAAAACATGATGTGAATAAATTGAAAAATGAATAAAAATGACAAAAACAAACAAAATTACTAAAACTTTAACTAAAATTAACATCAAAACAGAAAATATAAATTAAAATTTACTTCAAACAACAAACACACACACACACACACACATATATATATATATATATACAGTGTATATATATAGTATAACAATGATACTGAAATAACACTGGCTTACAATGACCAATATTTCTACGTTATTAATGTTAATTTCATCATTTACTAAAACATTTTTCAGATGAAAAGCTCTGTGTATTGACATTATTTAATGTACAGTAAACTAACCTAAATATTTAACAGTTGTATTTATTTGTAATTCAGTTCAGCTGTATTTCAGTTGTAATTATTTACTAACATTTTAACAAAGATTAATAAATGTTGTAAAAAAATATATTGCAGGTTTGTAGTTCTTTTTAATCAATACATAAACTATTGTTAAGAAATGAGACCTTATTGTAAAGAATTATCTTTATTTCTTAAACAAAGTACATTTTTAATGTACTGTGTGTGTGTTTGTGTTTGTGTATGTGTGTGTGTGTGTGTGTGTGTGTGTGTGGGTGTGTTGTGTGTGTAGATAGTGATAAGTCACTATATTTTTTGTTACATGTGTTACATTAGATCAGTTTACTGGCAGTAAGTCTCCCAGTTTTGCACTCCGTTTGTTGATCAAAGCACATCTCACGCTCACAATATCAGCTTTCACTCCCACCTCACCTGATCAGTGTCACGGACTGGAGCGCGCTAGAGATTCCTATTGATCCGTGGGAATCGATGAGCTGGATGTGAACACTCGTGCATCTGCGCTGCATCTGCACTGCCTCGCGCGCAATCCACTCAGTGTGCTTTGTTAATCAGCTCGCGCACATCAGCTATCCAGGCGTTAATACTGAATGTTTAACATTATATTCATTGCATACATATACTTCGTAGTAGACATCCTTAACTCCTTTCTGCTGTCTGTTGTTCTGTTGTTGGTGTTTGTTTGTTTGAATATGGAGCTTATCACATGCTGTGTGGTATCGGCGTTTGGTATCGGGGCATTTTAACGAGTACGAGTACGAGTACAGGAGACCAGTATCGGGCCCGATACCGATACCAGTATCAGTATCGGTGCATCCCTAATTAAAATATTATATATAAAATAAATGATTGATCTTTTTACTGCTTAATTCAAATCATATTCAGTCATATTCAGATTTATAAATATATACTCTGATTTACTTATATATATCTAGACTTATAACTATATATTCTGATTTACATTTATATATTCAGATTTATAAATATATTTTCTGATTTAGTTTGACAATTATTGACAATTTACATGTATATTTACAGATTTCATATATAATTATTTCCTGTTTGGCCCTTCATATTACATTAAATAATATTATAATATAAAATTACATAATGTTAGAATATATAATATATTGAAATATTGTATATAAAATATAAGATTTTTATATTTTTATTTTTATATAAATTTTACTAATATTAGTTAATTCAAATTATATTGATATTACATGAAATAATATTATATAATATAGTATAATACTACTATTAATATATATTATTATTATATTTAAAATAATATAATGTGTGTATAACTAACAACACATTTAAAAGCTACTTATATTTTAATGCTACACTATACAGTATATGCAGACTTCATAGTGTGTGTAGCGTGTTTTTGGCTCTGAATAAGACATGCATACTGCACACTACTACGGGTGTGTTGTGTAAACTGTTTTTTTTAGGACCACACAAGAGAGAGTGTGTTATAATACACCCCGTTTCTCCACACTGACCGTGTTATATACTGAGTGAACATACAAGCACATTTATATACACAATAACACCATACACTCGCCCAGCTTCCACTCTGTGTATTGATTTGATTTTTACTCTCACCGCCTACTGACCTTTGTAGCTCTGTCTGAGTGTGTGTGTGTGTGTGTGTGTGTGTGTGTGTGTGTGTGTGTGTGTG